TTTTTTTATTTTCATAAGATTCAATAAATTTATTAAACAAATGCAAAAGATTCTCGAATCCAAAGAGACCATACCATTTGTCAAACTCATTCAAATCAAATCGTTATAAACTCATTTTCCTTAACAATTTAGTCATAAATAATATTTTACTAAATTGATCATCTTCTTGTTTCTTGAGCAGGAAGTTGCAAATTTGGTCAAAGGGTTAAGTTTTTTACCTACATTTATGTTCAAAAGAGATGCATCATACGAGGAGTTTCTGGATAGACTTCATGCTTTGGAGCTATTGCTTACGCCGCAAGGACTTTGGGATGTTCCTCATCCTTGGCTGAACATGTTTGTTCCAAGTTCTCGAATCTCAGATTTTAATGAAGGTGTATTCAAGGACATTATTCTTAAGCAAAATATACCTCCCGGTGCATGTTTAGTCTACCCCATGAACCGAAACAAGTAAGTTTATTAGATAATTTAATATTAAAAGTGACAAAAAATTTATTTAAATCATCTATCATTTTTATATTAAAATAATATTTGACTAATAAAAATTACATTTTGTGTATGCAAATTAGTCCTTAATTTATTAACTTAAGACACTGAATAAATCATATCCATAAAAAAAAAATCATTTTTGTGACCTTAACATCTCCTTTCCAAGTACTTTTCTAAAAAGGAAAGTGATATATCACTAAAAGATCAAGCATCTTATTGTTTTAACCGCATGTTACTTTTTTTTTTATTTTTATTGAGAGAACTATGGATATGAAATGGGAACAAGTTATTTCTGATCCAAATTATTTGCGATCATATATACATGGATGTTTACATATGTGAGAATTAAACTGAATGAACATGCATGTTAATAATTCACAGGTGGGATGATAGGATGTCAGCAGTTATACCAGAGGAAGATGTTTTCTATTCTGTAAATATTTTTCAATCTGCATCTGGGTTAGATGAGGTGGAGAAATATCAAGTTCAAAACCAAAAAATATTACAGTTTTGTAAAGATACAAATATTAAGATCAAGGAATATCTTACCGGTAACAAAACACATCAAGAATGGGTGGAACACTTCGGCCTCAAATGGAAACTTTTTGAAGATAGAAAAGCTAAATTTGATCCCAACAAATTATTATCACCTGGGCAAGGAATTTTCCAATAGACAATGTGTCGTGTTTTATTCACAATGTCTAAATGTTAATGGGTGTTTTATTTTTATTTTTAATTGATGAGCGTGTTTAGAAGCATTCAGAGCTTTGGAAATAATTTGATGTATGAGTGAAATATCTTATTTCAAAATTTGTGGAATAAAAATTTATACAATTTCAAATTTCTTATTTTATTCTTTATATATGTCGATTATTCATTGCAAATTCTAATGATAATCTCTTTTCTTTGTTTTACTTAAACAAAGTAGGCCATATTCAAGGGTTTTAAATTGCGGTTGTGATCGCGGTTGCGGTCGCTGTGACACCCTCTACCCTGCATACTATAACACATAGATAACAAAATTTGAAGAACATAATCTTTCATAATAACATATCAAACGTGTTCAGATAGAGAGTATCACATCCATGACTTAAACAAATAACAAAATCAGCAAAAATTACAAAGACATAATGCTAAGGTTTCTAAAATAATAAGAACAACATAATCTAATCCTATTTATGCCCCGATGTCACATGTCCTATCAGAACAAAGTCCAACATTGAAGCCTAAGCTTCATCACCAACATCATCAGCCTCATGCTGATGATCACTTGTATAACAATCAAAGGAAAACAACACAAAAGAAAAGGGAGTGAGAAATATCTCACTCTGACTCACGATGTAGGAATACACATTGGATAGCCAAACACAAACAAGACATGTATATGTACATAGCATAAATAGATTAACAACAATATCACATTCAACTCATCAAAGGCATAAAAATCACTTTAGCATATAACATTAAAATGCACATGTAATATTCGCAAAAAATTTCTACGAATATTTTTTTGCAAGAAAATGACACTTTTCTCGTAGTGTGATCACATTTATTTTGATATTATTATTGTTATTATAAAAAATTCCAATTTCAACTTACATATCCTTAAAATAGTTGTATATACGTAGATCTTTATCTTTCATTAAAACCTAAATTACTAAAATAAGTTAAATGAACATAGTTATACTTTATTTTTTTTCATACATTTAAGAAAAAAATTCTAATTAACATATTTAAGAGGCCCAAGATACTTAACTGAAGAATTATTTATTTTACATCTTGAAGAATTATGATTTTCAAAAATCATGTTATACATAAATTTCTTTAAAATATTTCTATGTTACTTTACTTGAGAATCAAATAATTTCACTTCACTAAATTAGTAAGTAAAGATATTGTGATATTTTTACTGTAATAATTTTTACTTTATGATTCAAAAAGAGTTATTCTTAGAATAGTGGATTAAACCTAACTCAAACCTACAAAATCGGCTTGTAAGATGAGGGTTACTTTCTACTTATATACTATTTAATTACCTAATCTCTAGTCGATGTAGGACTCGGGTTTTCCCCAATACACCCCCCTCACGTCCAGCACTATTGGGCTTGGTATGTGGATAAATGGTAGGTGGCCCTTTTTTAATGATCTAGAATTGGCGGGACTTGAATACACCCTTTCATGCCCATGGTGCATGTATCAATGAATGGTGAGTGACCCATTTTCAAGAATATCTAGGATAGCTCTGATACCATCTTAGAATAGTGGATTTAAGCCTAACTCAACCTTACAAAACCAGCTTAGAAGGTGAGGGTTGCTTTCCACTTATATACTATTCAATTGCCTAATCTCTAGTCGATGTGAGATTTGGGTTTTTCCCAATACACCCCCTCACATCCAGTATTATTGGGCTTGGTACGTGGATAAATGGTGGGTGACCCTTTTTTAATGATCTAGGATTGGCGAGACTTGAGTTTTTCTCATTACACCCCCTCATGCTTATGGTGCATGTATCAATGGTGGGCGGCCCATTTTTTTAAGAATCTAGGATAGCTCTGATACCATCTTAGAATAGTGGATTAAGCCTAACTCAACCCTACAAAACCAGCTTGTAAGGTGACGGCTGCTTTCCACTTATATACTATTTAATTGCCTAATCTCTAGTCGATGTGAGATTTGGGTTTTTCCCAATACACCCCCTCACATCCAGTATTATTGGGCTTGGTACGTGGATAAATGGTAGGTGCCCCTTTTTTAATGATCTAGGATTGACGAGACTTGAATATACCCCCTCATGCCCATGGTGCATGTATCAATGAATGGTAGGTGGTCCTTTTTTAATGGCGGGACTTGAATACGTCCCCTCATGCCCATGGTGCATGTATCAATGAATGGTGGGTGACCCATTTTTAAGAATCTAGGATAGCTATGATAGTTATATTTCCACTTCTCAATAGAAACAACTTTATGTATAACATGATTTTTCTAAAAATATAATATTTATTGATAATATTATTTTTTAAACACTAAATCAAATATTGAAAATTATCATTCCTAACTTTTAAATTCTTTTTACAATTCCTATGCTTAATTTATTAATGTATCCAGGTCAATGTCTTAAAGTTTTTGGTCAATATTGTCTCAATGTAAGCACATGATATCTTAATGAGAAACCGCGTACAGCTACAATGTTATATAGCTTTTGGTCATTAATTCTTTAATCCAAGTCTTTTGGTCATTCTTAATTTACTTTTTTTTGGGCCATATAATTAATTTACTTAATCATTGTTTGCCTCTGTAGTTAATATATTTTAATCAAATGTCAAACAAAGAAAAAATCCAAATGTATCTATATATAATATGGCTTGTCAACCTCTTCCTAATTGCTCAACTTTCACACTTCACTGAGAAAATGGTGTTGTCTGATTTGGAGATCTGCAAGCCAACTTCAAGTTCTCACCATGAAGTTGGTATGCATTTCTTGATCAATACTTGGTTACCCCAACTTTCCTTTATTATATCGTATATTATTATTGATACAGTTAAAGCAATAAATTGACAGTTTACGTAAAATAGTTTTACATGATCAATTCATCATATTTATTTAATCTTTTAGATAATTATTTTAAAAATCAACAAATTTATCATTTATAATAATTTATGATTAGATGATCATGTAAAATTATTTTACACTATCTATGTATCAATATTAAATCATTAATACAACTATATATACACATTAATGATATATTTTCTCTGTCCTCTATTATAAACAAAAAAATATTTATTTATAAATATAAGTAATTTAATTATTTTTGCATCATTTAATTAATGACATTTTCTCTAAAATATCTCTTGTATAATACATGACCTTTCAGTTGTATTATTTCTTTTGACATTTATAATAAAGGTAGTTTAAGAAAAATCTTATAAAAAAATTAATGCTAATAATTTTTTTAAAATATCCATAAAATTAATTATTTTTAATAATAGATAACAGAAAGATTATATGTTAAGTTCACGAAAATATATCAAAAGATTAATTGGTATTTACATATATGCAGGTGTTTCTAGATCTGAGAGAGACCTGCCACCAGCTCATTACTTGTTCAAAATTGAATCATATTCCGAATTAATGAACACAGAAGTGGAGAAGTATGAAACTAATGTTTTCGAAGCTGGGGGATACAAATGGTTTGTTTTCGTATGCTTCTATCTTTTCTGATCCAGTTGAGAAATTAATTCTTCATGTTTTTTAATAAAATTTTTACACCCTTTATATGTTGATTGTTTGTTAAGATGGGTTTTAGAATTATCTTAAATTCGAACAAAAATTGCACGTTTCAAGATCTTAAATTTCATTTCCGACATTCAGAAATTAATTAGTATGGAAGAAATGTTGCTGCATTTTTTCTCATATCTATAACATATAAAGATGATAGTTTGATTGGTATACACTTTTTTTTATAGACAATTTCATCTTTTAAATTTTTAAATAATAAAAAACAATATTAAAAATTAATCATTCTTATAAATATAAGACTTAAACTCAAGATTTAAGATATGAAGATCAAACATAATACTAATTGATATAACAAATATTAATAATTTTTAAACATTTTTATTAAATAAAATAAAAAGACACAAAATACCTTGATCCTACTAATATAGAAGAGTTAAGATATTGACCACAATAAAGTTTGAACTAAATATTATATATATATTACTACAACTTCTCTATTATTAGGATGATCCTTCATGTTGTTACATCTTTTAAAATTAAGCAAAATTAACTATTTATTTTATATGATCCTTCTTTTGTAGCCCAATTCTTTGATATATTTTATTTTATTTCTCGTATTTTTTATTTAGTTTAGTTTCAATTTTTGACTTGTGAAATGTTATTTTGAAAATAAGTTTTTATGTCTTATTGTAATGGACTTCTTTTTTAATGATATTATAATGGATATGCATTATTAAATTTTTATTCATAAAAATTACAATGTGAATAACAATGCTCGAACTCAATAATGTGGATAATTCTCCAATTTTTACCATTAGACCGACTCTCTAAATTATCAGTTGACATTGTAAAAATTGCGCTCTCTTTTTTATTTTAACTTTTATACTTCTGGCACTACACAGTTGTTGGAATTGATAGTTTGATGACAAAATGAGTTGATCTAATCGAATCTGAATTTTAAATTTTAAGTTTTTGGTCTTTTTAACTTAATCTAATGAGTTAAGTATGCAAAAACTTATCAAAATTAAATCCCAGCCCAATAGCCAAATTGGGCCGAATTACCTTTTGCCACTTCTATAATTTAATCAAAATTTGATGGTTCATGATATATACACTTCCTTTTTTTTTAAAACTCCTTTTTTAAAAAAAAAATTAAATATTTAATTTTTTTTTAATTTTTTAATTTTATACCCACAATATTTAATTAAGTACTTTTTCTTCACACATCTTTCCTCCTTTTTTCAATTTTCACATGCACTTCCTTACCTTTCTTTCACTCTACCTATTTTGGTAGGTAGTTTTGATTATTTTAGTTTTACATTACTCTTTTCCCCTCTCTTCTTTCAATTTTCTTACTATTATCTCCTCTTTTACCGCTTTTAGTTTTCACACATGCAAAACGTAAAACTAATTTTCAACAATATTATAGGTGTGTGACTTTCTCGACAATTTTGATTGTGTTTTTTTACATATTATTCCGGAAAGTACTTTTCGGAAGTATTTATAAAAAACAATAGAAAGACCTTTCTAGAACACTAATTTCATTATCCCGCACAGTACTTTTAGAATAATGAAAGTTT